CACTTTAGGATATACAGCAGTGACTTGTCTTAAAGACTTCTGACATATCATTGAAATTTTTTCCACACATAAACCCCCCAATGCTGTATCCAGGAATTGAGATGGCAGTTTAAGTCTTTATCAGTATGAGAGAGTATTCTAAACCTGCCTCAGGGAAAAAGCCACAGGTGTTATTTAAATTCCCCTCCCCTCAAATTATTTCACAATATCACATGCATCCACATTGGCATTAATGCTAGTATTATGCCATAACCTTGCACATCATATGATAGCCACACAGACCGAACATGTTCCAACCAATGAAAAATCGTGCAGTTGACTGTAGAATAATATTAGACTAGTAACTTAGGAGATTCTTAGGAGCACTGGTTACTGAAATACAAAGTGCCAATATATAGCTCAGGGTGCAGTGCTGCATCACCAGCTAAGGAGCACATTCTCGAAAACTCACTGAAACCTGACTTGGTGTCAATTCAGTTGTTTCATTTATAGTGGAATATAAAAATTTCCCCCGTTTTCAGAATTGGCTTAACTACTACACATTAACTAATTCACTTTACTAGGTTGAGCCAAGTGTAGTACTGTATTAAGAGTAGGTATATAAATAGGTATTTTGTGTTCTGGAAGACTTAATAAAGCTCACTCTTATTCTGAAACACTGTACAATAAAATCCACCCTTATAAATATGTTTTGTTTTACTACCTTATATTTCTCAAAATTTTATCAAAAATCATCTTGCTTGAGGATTTTCTAGAAAGTTAATTCAATGAAGCTAATATTATATACTTATGGTAAGAGCTATGTAAAAAAAAAAAAAACTTATTGTAATAATTCCATGAATTGCAAAGGCAATGCCTTACAAAGATGGTAGAGTATAGAAGAAAAAAAAAGATTAAGGATACCTATTTCAAAGTGACATTGCATTTTCACAAATTAGCATCACAAGACACCTGCAGAGAAAAGGTTGGACTGCAATAATGAGACAGCTGCTGAAGTGACTAAATACAATATAAATGTTGAAGCATGGAAAAGCATCACTAGTGAAAAAGAAACTCGAAGTGGATGGAGTGAGTATTTGGGGTGTGATAGGTGAAAGTGTTAAAGTCTGCAAATGTCAAAAGAAAAAAAAAATTACTGGTCCTGGAGGTAGGAAGTACTCTGAAGGAGGGATGGGGATATTTGCAGTTTGGAGGGGCATCTGAACTGTAGTATATGCACACCTCTGCGAAGACAGTGATTGAGTGAAAGTGTTTATCTTTTGGGTCACCTACCTCAGTGGGAGACAGCTAACATGTTAAAAGGAAGAAGTTTCATTATGATAATTACAATTTTAAAGAGAATGAAGTACTTGCTTGTGTTTCATTGTTTCTAAGATATTCATGACCAAATACAGTGGACCCCCGGTTAACGAACTTTTTTCATTCCAGTAGTATGTTCAGGTGCCAGTACTGACCGAATTTTTTCCCATAAGAAATATTGTGAAGTAGATTAGTCCATTTCAGACCCCCAAACATACACGTACAAACGCACTTACATAAATACACTTACATAATTGGTCGCATTTGGAGGTGACCGTTAAGCGGGGGTCCACTGTAAATGTAAGAATTGCCAATTTATATCTTCAAAACTAGGTTTGTTTTGGATACATGCTAAAGTATTCCAGTATGTAGTGGAAAGGAAAAAATTGAATAGTTGAAGGAGATTTATCCCAAGGCCTAGTAAGCAGAATTGTTCATACAGTCATATTTCTTGTTGACACCAAATGGCAACTGTTGCATATACTACGTTAACATCAGTCATGATGAATTCCCTAAATGTTTCATTTGCTCTCTCAAACATTTTGGAACATGAATATAGTTTAAATCTCTCTCCTTGCAAGAAAGAAAGCTGTGCAGTAGTACCTAGCTTCTTGGAAATATATACACTTAAGCAGTATGTGATCCTTTATTGACAACGTTTCACCCACGCAGTAGGCTTTATCAAGTCACAAACAGATCTGTTTGTGACTTGATAAAGCCCACTTCGTGGCTGAAACGTTGTCAATAAAGGATCACATTATACTGCTTAAGTGTTTATGGTATTTCCATTGTCGGTATTTTATACCATTTATTTCCACCTACCTTGAGAGGTGTTGCAGTCATATGCAAGTGTTTCTGTGTGTTTGTGCTTTAGGGTATTATACATACAGTAGCAGAATCTACATTTTCATTCATACCTGATATATATCCCAATAATGATTTTTTATTATCTCTAAATTTCACCGCTGAATTATCCATATTTTTTTCAGTCATAGTATCAGATCAATCAAAAAAAAATTATGAAATACAATTTAAATCATTTTAGTATTTATACAGCAACCCTAATTAACCTAACAGTTCACTCAGAGTTATTACTTCTAGCATAACTAAACAATGCATTTCTTCATATAATGTGTATTTAAGTGAATCATGTAATTTCCAGTAAAAATTACATTTGTTTTATAGATAAGAAACTTAGACCTTGTCTGTTTTCAGCTCAGAGGTCAGATGGAAGTAACAGCAGTGATTGAAAATATTACTCAAATGCCAAAGAAATCAAAACTTGAAAATAATACAGGCATCAGCATTAAGGAAAGTTCTCAATGTACAATAAATCTCAGTTTGCCTAATGTGCTTGAGTGCTCAAATATAAGCAGTGATCATGCCTCTTCCAATAATATTTATGGAGATTCTTTGGAATGCAATGCCTTGAGTGAGGCACAAGATGAGACTGAATTGCATTCCCCTCAGGGCAAAATAACAGTTCTTCCTCTAAGAATGAAGACGGGTTCTGGAAGACCTTCAAGGCTCTCCAGTGTGGGAGATGGGTATGAAAATAGCTCTGCTGTTATTAATGTTGCTGGTGATGGAGGTGGAAATAAAAAGTCGCTAAAACAAAAGAAAAGAAAGAGAAAACTTAAGAGTTTTTTAGCTCGCAGGAAAGGTAGAAGGAAATATAAATCAGAGAAGAACACAAAACAGGTAAATGAATCATGATTGCTAGGGCTGATGAAATAAGCAGAGTTAGTTTTTAATTTTATTATTAATTATGACTTACCAGAAGTGTAAACAAGATTGGTGTTAATGTATTAGAGTAAAACAAACAAAAAATTTAAACTTATCAAAACCAAATATATATATTTTTATGTTTTTGTCTCTACAGTGAAAGAAACTGCAGCACAAGTTGTAGGGTTCAGTGGTAGGGTTTTAGTTGCTTAGAAGCTAGTCGAACATCTGTTTACAGGTGAACACAAAACTTATTGATATTTATTTTGTTAACATACTGCCAGTTGTCATTTTAATCATTGTTTATTTTAGCTATAAATATCATTTACTATTCCTCTATCTTCTATCTTTTATTTTCCTTCAGTGATTTTCGAGACTTTCTTTTTCCCATAAGAGTTAAATTAATTTATGAAATATTAATTAATATAAATACTTAATAACTCTTATATATATGCTTGTTTATGCTTATGTCGTAGTATATACTTCAACACCCTTAATTTTCTTTGGGCTAACTAAATTAGTTTTTCAAAGGTTGTTGTAAGATAATGCTTTTTTTTTTTTTTTTTTTTTTTTTTTTTTTTAATGTAACAAAGATTTTATAAATAGTTTAGGTATTTGGGGGACAAAATGTATTACAAATCTTAATGTTTTAGAAGACTGTTATTCATTTTCTATTTTAAAATGCACAGTTTCTGAAGTACTTTCATATTGCTTGTCAGAGCTGACACAATGTCTTTAAAGGACAATAAACTCCCTTTATTAGGTTCGTTTTTATGAACCTTGATATATGAATTTAAAATGTGTGTATTATCTTTTGAAGGCCAGTGCAATGTATGTAGCCTAATATTTAAATTTAGAGAGAAGTCAGTTTATACAGTGTATTATTTGTTAATAAAAATGACAGTGTTACTGGGGAATTTATAATTTTATAATGGGGAAATGTATATAAACTTAAAAAAGTATGTAAAGTCAAGTAGAGAATGTAGTTCAGTGTGCCATATTTGAGACAACTGAGAAATATTGGTGGTTATACACAGTTCTAACTTAAAAGGATTAATGGACAAATAACAATGAGAGAGATATTCAGTAATGAATTAGGGCTCGTGGTGACATTGATGACTGCTCAGTCATTCAAAGGATATTCTTAAAATATATTTTTGTTCATTAGGTAATGCTGAATTTTATAGTAAAATTAATGTATTGTAATGCTATAAAATAATTTTTATTTAATGAAAGTATTGTATAGTACCTAGGCCAATTCCACCCACCCCATTAAGCTAGCCATGAAACAAAACCAGTTATAGATTGTTGCAGAAAAACATTCCATTTTTATCACAGTACAGACAGGGTATAATAATGGAGTAAACAAATGGACTAGAAAGAAGAGTTAGTAGTGGTGGGTACACATTGGTATTTCTGAGAATTTGTTTACCTATCACTGAATCCATAGCATGTGTATTGCAAATAGACCAGAATGGACAACTAGTGAACAAAAGCACAGCCATTAAGATAAAATATGTATATTCTGTAGATAGAATTAGAGCTGGATGTAGCTGTTGAAATATAGCTGAAAATTTTTACCAATATCCAGCCTCTAAACTCTTTTGACTACCTATTTCCTCTGGGAAATCCCCAATGTAGTGTCTCACCCAGACATTAGAGCACAAGTATAGATGCATGTGAATTAAAGTTTTTTAAATTAAAAGGCACACTTTTCTATAATATCCTATTTAAAGGAAATTTTGCCTGCATGTGTGCATTACTCATTTCATGATATATGTATGTACATACCCATCAACATACCACAAAATTTAAGGGAAAATGTGTGTGAAATGGCACACTTTTTGCCTTATTAAACATCTCGTACTTTTAGGCTGGATTCTGTTGTACACCTAGAAAGCCATAAATGCTTTCCTAAACACCAAATCCATTAAAGAATGGAAGGTTGTGCATTTCCAACCTTTAGAGACATAATAGACTAGTAGTGATAAGATAAAGAAATGGGTGGACTGCATATTCATAGACAGAAAGCTTTTAATGCAGTATGACTGAATGCTACTTATTGAACAGAAGACTCCAATCCTAGTAACAGGTAAGGAATGCTTTAATAATAGAAAATAAATTATAAAGTCCTCCATGGGGAAGTGGAACAGAATTCTTCCTCCGTAAGCCATGCGTGTCTTAAGAGGCGACTAAAATGCTGGGAGCAAGGGGCTAGTAACCCCTTCTCCTGTATATATTACTAAATTTGAAAGGAGAAACTTTCGTTTTTCCTTTTGGGCCACCCCGCCTCAGTGGGATACGGCCGGTGTGTTGAAAGAAAGAAAATTATAAAGTACAGTATGAAGCATCACAACAAGAGACTAGTCGCACAAGAATCGGCACTTGGTCTGTGTTCTTAGTGCATGCCAGTGACCTATCAGATAAACTTATGCATCTTATAAAAATGATTCCCAATAGTCCAGAATACAAATAGGAAGACACTAGAAGGCTAGAAAGTTTAAGAATAATAAGTGTTGAATTTAACCCAAACAGTTATGAATCTAGAAGATGGGGAAGAGACACCATAGAGAGTACTGTTTTGCAGAGAGAAAAAAAAAAATCATAAAATCAGCTACCTAAATCTCCTTAAAACTCGAGTCCTTTCTTGGTAAGCTGATAGACAAATCCTGCTTTGCCTACATTTTTCCCTATCTAAACTAGGTTATGGATACCACCTATTTTTGAGCCTTGCCTTTTTTTTTTTTTTTTTTTTTTTTTTTTAGCAAGTCGGCTGTCTCCCACCAAGGCAGGGTGACACAAAAAGAAAGAAAATCCCCCAAAAGAAAATACTTTCATCGTCATTCAACACTTTCACCTCGCTCACACACTCACTGTTTTTGCAGAGGTGCTCAGAATACAACAGTTGAGAAGCTTATACGTATAAAGATACACAACATATCCCTCCAAACTGCCAATATCCCAAACCCCTCCTGAAAAGTGCAGGCATTTTACTTCCCATTTCCAGGACTCAAGTCTGACTATATAAAAATAACCGGTTTCCCTGAATCCCTTCACTAAATATTACCCTGCTCACACTTCAACAGCTCGTCAGGTTCTAAATACCATTCGTCTCCATTCACTCCTATCTAACACGCTCACGCACACTTGCTGGAAGTCCAAACCCCTCGCCCACAAAACGTCCTTTACCCCCTCCCTCCAACCTTTTGGAGGACAACCCCTCTTATTCTCTTTAAACTTGATCCCATTCATTATCAAAGGTTAAATTTTTCTTGGGGCTTTGACTCTCCCATCTTGGCAAGATCAATATGACACTATGATCCTTCCACATATAGAATGGTTACAGATATTAGTCAAGCTAATTTATTATGCCCTTTTCCTCTTCATATTCACTCCTTAAAATGACATCCCTTAATTTGCCTCCCCATTATGTTCACCTGCATCTTACTTTTTTCTCCTTTGGAAGTTCCAGCATTTCATGTTTGCTGCTGCTCCACTTTGATGTGCAAAAGCTTACTTGCTTACTATAACTTGCAAATTTTTTTTAATCCTTCCAGTTTCTCTCTCATGCTATATCTACATACAGTGATGGTTCTAAAGCTCAGTGGTGTTGAGTATGCAGCTGTTTTTCTGGAAAGAATATGATGAATAATCCAAAGTCATGTACTAGTCAGCCAGCATTTTCACAAGAGTTATATGCAAGTCTCACTGCTATCATATGCATTGTGGCCATATGTGCCTCATTTGTAGTTTTGGACTTCTGAAGTGTGTTAAAAACTATCCAGAAACTCACTTCCTTATTCCATCGTCCTTCATGTACAACCTTGGTAATGTTCCATTTCTGGTAAATACAAAGAGTGAAGGAATTTGGGTGATCCTAGGAAAGGTTGGAGGGAAGGGTAAAGGAGGTTTTAAGTACTAGGGGCTTGACATCCAACAGGCTTGTGTAAGCCCAAGGCTGGGCTCAGGGAGTAGAAAAACTCGAGGAACTCGTTAAATGTATACAAGTCTGATGGATATAAATAAGTGAAGGCGATTGGATTTTATGATTTGATGTGTTGTTGGAGTGTGAACAAGTTGACATTTACAAAGGGGTTCAGGAAAACTACTTAGTTGGACCTGAATCCTGGAGGTGGGAAACAGTGTTTGCACTCTGAAGGAGGGTTGAAGATGTGGATTGGAGTCATGTGAACTGTAATGTCAGCTCTATTCTGGGAAAGCAGTGATTGAATAATTGACAGTGAAAGTGCATTCTTTGTTGGGTCACCCTTCCTCAGTGGGAGAAGGCCAGAATGTTAAAATGAAATACCTTTGAAGAATTTCGAGAGTTTATCTACTCTCTCAGCCAGGCTTGCCTGGTCAACCAGGCTGTTGCTGCTGGAGGCCCGCTGCCCCACGTATCCATCACAGCCTGGTTGATCTGGCACCTGGTGAAGATACTTGTCCAGTTTCCTCTTGAAGGCTTCTACACTTGTTCCAGCAGTGTTTCTGATATCTTCTGGTAAGATGTTGAAAACTCTGGGACCCCGGATGTTGATATAGTGTTCCCTTATTGTCCCCACCGCACCCCTGCTCCTCACTGGGTTTATTTTACACTTCCTCCCATATCTCTCACTCCAGTATGTTGTTATGGCAGTGTGCAGATTTGAGACCAAGCCCTCGAGTACCTTCCAGGTATATATTATCATGTACCTCTCTCTCCTCCGCTCCAGTGAGTACACGTTCAAGACTTGCAGGCATTCCCAGTAGTTTAGGTGCTTTACTGGCTTAATGTGAGCCGTAAACGATCTCTGTATTTGTTCCAGCTCCGATATTTCTCCTGCCTTAAAGGGGGCCGTCAGCACTGAGCAATATTCTAAGTGAGGGAACACTAACGATTTGAAGAGTGTCACCATCGGCATTATTTCCCTTGTTTTGAAAGTTCTCAATACTCGGCTCAAGAGTTTTTTGCTGGGTCTCTAGGCACTCCACTTTTCAGGGGTAATGAACAAGCAGACTCAGGAGATCTGTCAGCTATTCATGTTCTCCTAGTTTCCTGCAGGGGCATTGCTTTCTTAAGCTGTTTTTTTCAGCAGTCTCAACAATTTGGCAACTGCTGGCAACATTGGTACAAGTTGGACCACAACAAATTGTTTATCAAATCATATTTGAGTTTCTGGCCATCTCCCACTGCTGTCAGGTTTGGAAACCAGCACTTTCACACAAAAATTGAATACTTGGAACACAGATACCATGTGGAGAAACAACCAGCTCATTTCTGCGAAAATTGCCATATGATTTCGCATCTTAATAAATTATCCTATTAGTTGGCATGCAGGATTGACCTCCGACATCTGCACAGTACACACACACACACACAAATGCACTATACCTGACCACGGAAAGTCATGACTCGACACAGACTGACTTTTACATAGTAACTAACCTTTCAATTTTATTCTTTCACTAACTCTATCTCCACCAACCCCTATTCTTGCACACATCTACCCTTCACTCACTTCTAACCTTCGCACATGTGAACCAACATTGCTGTATGATCCTTATGGTTTCAGCGCTCTCCCTCATTAAAAAAAACTGATCAGGAAGTAATCACAGGTGGTACAGAGAATAAATATACAATGACTAATATAGCACTTTATTATTCTAATAAGCTATGTTATAACACTAAGAGTTATTCTGTTTTTCTGGAGTTGCACATTCTGTGCTTTCATCTTCTCTTGGTAGTGCACCATCTTCAGGTAGGTGATGGCAGCACTGCAGACAAACAGCACTGCACTAATGAAACCCAGAGCCTGCAACACACGGGTCATCGAGTAAGATACATCTTAATGCCACAAGAGCATGTGTTATGAATAATTTTGTGAGAGAAAAGTTTAGTTTAAAACTGTATGAAACATATGGGTTTAGCACAGGTTCTTTAATAATAACTAAAAAAAATCAAAAGCACAATATTGTATTAGAACTTTATTCTTTCTAGACTTAGAATGAAGGGTGATGTGAATGAATGTGGTAGGTATGTAGTGTGCAAGAGGAAAACATTAAATAAGGACCCCTCGAGGGAGGTTCCTGAAGTCGGGCTCTTGATCCAATGAACTGGAATTGCTGCACCCTTAATTGGATTGGACAAAAAATCATCTGCTTCCTTAAATGTTTTATGGTCTACAAGTTTAGTGCCCTCCCCTGTGAAATAAAATTTATTTTTGGGATTTAGTCTGGAGAGCAAGCTGATTTCAGAAACTTCCAATTACATGTATATGCATAATTTCCTAAGAGTTTATTAGCATTTTTAACCCAGACACTCTGACTTTTTAACAGCCACTGATTTACTGCATAAATTCTGATGTTGATGCCTCTAGCACCCCTCACAGCCCTTTCTACCTGAATCTCTAGCTACCTTCTACCCCTGCACTGTCCACTGCCCTGCTGCACTCCATGACGTAATAATAATCCCTCACCTTGCTAGCTACCCAATACCCCTACACCCTTCCCTGCTCTTCTGCTCTGTATGACCCTTGTTAGTTTAGCTCTTCTTTTTTTTTTATAATTTTCATTCGGTGGGGATGTTGCATCTCCTGCCAAGTCTTGCTTTCGTGGGGAGTGATTTTTCGTGTGCAAATTTGGGACTAGTCCATCTAGGATTTTACAAGCATATATTATCATGCATTTTTCTCACCTTCATTTCAGGGAGTACAGATCAAGTGATTTAACCTTTCCTAGTAATCTGTGCTTGATCATACTTATATGTCTTGTGAAAGCTCTATATTCTCCAGGTCTGCAATTTCACCTGCCTTGAAAGGGGCCATTAGTGTGCAGCAATATTCTAGCCTAGAGAGAACAAACAATTTGAAGAGATTCATCATGGGCTTGGTATCCCTAGTTTTGAAAATTAGGACCCAATTTCTAAACTTTGTTAAAAGTTAAGTGTCCAGAAGAAGCAACGATGCAAATGTGGCGAGGAAATCAAATATACACAAATAATCCATATTTAGGAGACTGAAACATATGACAAAGTTTTGGTACAACTAGGACCATTAACTAATTACATCTGTGAGAAAAACTACATATTCAACTCTCAGAACTGGGTGAGGTTTGAAGCCATGGCAAACCAGCCCTAAAACTAGCAGGCCATTGCAAACTACAGTGCGGAGTGCGCTAGCCTGCCATGAGTTCGAACCCCACTCTGTTGGTGCTTGTCCATGGTTGTAATACATACAATGGAGGTGATGGTGAGAGGAGTATCTGAGCAAGCTTTGTTAGTGAGGGTGATGATGGAGCCAACCACCATGACCACCATTCCAGCCACGTTGAAGTACACCTCCTTTTAACAAGTATACATCATATTAAATGCATTTCCTGTTAATAAGTACACCTATTAACATCTTCAATTAGGTTTTTTATTTTTTATTTCAAACTGTATACATCAACAGTGAAGTACTGTATCACTCATGGGTTTAATACTTTATTAAAACCCTTGCGGTTTAGCGCTTCTTTTTTATAATAAAATAATAATAATATTTTTCTAATATTACAATAATAATAATACAACCTTTTAGGTCTGATCACTGAATGAGCTGGGAAGTAGAAAACAGTGTATGGATGGGGAAAGAGGACTGCTTGGCCAGGTGAAGGGCTCTTGGTCCGAGGAATTGGATCTGCCCTCCCTGGGATTAAACCTAAATTCCTTCAGTTCCCCTGGTGTTAAACGAGTCCTATGGGTTTAACAGTTTCTTATGATAGTGTTTAATAACTCACTCCCTTGACCCATGTGGAGGTGACGAGTGGGTTCCTGCCTCCAGTCAGCATTAGCAGAGCTGTGACGTAGGTAACCAGAGTGACGCTTGCACATACAGCACACGGTAGCACATACAGCGTCACATAGCTACCGTTACTGCTACACTTGTTGCTCAAAACGAACATCACAATCGCCATCACCAGCATCACCTGTCACAGACGGGGATAAACAGGTCAACTGAATACTGTCGAATATCACAAGCACATCCAACCCTTCAGCGAAGGTGCCTTGATGCCAGCGAGGGGCTGTTTACCTGGAGAGAGTTCCGGGGGTCAACGCCCCCGCGGCCCGGTGTGTGACCAGGCCTCCTGGTGGATCAGAGCCTGATCACCCAGGCTGTTACTGCTGGCTGCACGCAAACCATCCTTCCATTGGATCGAACCTGATTGCTTCCTATTACCTAAAGCTCTGTTTGACCCTTTCGGAAATAAGATAGTAATCTATGACAACCTGACGGGTTATCCTGGGTCACTAACCCTCTAGGTTAATACTTCCGAAACAAATAGTCACTTAGCCTTAATACCATAATCTGTAAGGGTTTAATGTTAAGAATTAATCTAAGTCTGCCCGAAATGCCTAGCCACGCTAGGTGTCCTAGTGGCCCCCCTCTGTAATTAATATTTTATAACTTGTAAACCACACAATACCCAAAACCTGTAAACCCCACATTGTAACCCTTATAGATTATTATTATTATAATCAAGGGGGAAGCGCTAAACCTGGAGGATTATACAGCGCCTGTGGGGGGGGATGTGGAAGGCATTCAGGCTTAATTCGGGGAACTGGAGCACAGATCCAATTCCCTAAATCAAGAGCCCCTCACCAACATCAAGGAGCCTTCCTTGAGGGGTAATTATTATGAATATAGGATAGGTTCCTTGATGCTGGTGAGGAGTTCTTGATCTAGGGAATTAGATTGCTCCAATTCCCTGAATTAAGCCTGAATGCCTTCCATCCATCCCCCCCAACAGGCGTTGTATAATCCCTACGGCAGCGCTGTATAGCCCTTGTGGTTTAGCGCTTCTTTTTTATTATAATAATAATATAATCCCTACGGGCTTAGCGCTCCCCCGTGATAATAGTTTTCCTGTTATATTTCATCACAGGATGAGTTTTGTAGACGGTAGTCGCTTAGGTATGAGTATAATAATGTAGATGGTGGAAATGAGAAGTGTCGGGGAAGTGTAAACAAAGAAAGTCAGGAAACCATAAAATGCGCAGATACTGCAGTTAGAAGCCTGAGTAGATCTATAACCCACTATGATGACATGAACATAGGTATGTTTATGGAGCAACTTGCAATGTGAACAGACTGACTGATGTTGTAGTGGGGAGGCTTAGGCTTGGTTACAAGTACTTCTGGCAGTTTGGGAGACACACAGATGATGATCAAACTAAATGTAAATTATGTGATCAGCCATATGGTCACTCTCTTGAACACTATGTGCTTAATTGTCCACTTATTGAGGAATACAGAGATAGACAATATAATAACCTATGTGGCATCTCAAGATATCTTATTAATGAAAATAAGATACCAGATATACTAAGCAATTTTCCTAAATTTGCTTGTAACAGATAATTGAACTATAGACATGTAGATATAAATCCATATGTATTCCTGTTAACCCTTTGGGGCCTAGTTTCTAGGCCTTTTGTATATCCATATACTCTTGCACTACCGTCCACAGGATGGATATGGAATGCACAATAAACTAGCCACTTCGGTGGCAAAATGTATCCGCAGACACTTAACCGGCTTGGGGATGGAGGCGTCGGGTTAGGGGTTAGGGACCATGGTCAGATTCTGGGATATGGAGGGGTGTTGGGATTTAGGTAGGGGCACAAGGAGAGAGGAAGTAGTTGTAACTTGTTAAATTCGTTATCTGCTGAACGAAGTTATATGGCTTCACAAAACCAGCGTTAGGCAGCGTCTAGTCAGGGAGACGAAGCAGTGGTGGTGGTGGCTGCTGGTTAGTAGCATCTAATGCACACAGGCCGGGATCGATCCCTTGCACGGGTGATACGTTGGGCATGTTTCCTTACACCTGCTGCTCCTGTTCACTTAGCAGTAAGTACCTGGGTGTTAGTCGACTGGTGTGGGTCGCGTCCCGGGGAAGAAAAATTAAAAGGCCTCAATGGAAATAAGACAGTCCCTGATGACGCACTGACGTTATTGGCTTAACCTGGGTGACTAACCCTCTGGGTTAAAAATCCGAACAAAAATTTGTTTGATGATGTCCCGTGAAAGCTCATTCCTAAGTGAAACCCCTAAGGGAGGTTCCTTGATGTTGGTGAGGGGCTCTTAATCTAGGGAATTGGATCTGTGCTCCAGTTCCCTGATTAAGCCTGAATACCTTCCATTCTCCCCCCCCCCCTCACAGGCGCTGTATAATCCTACTAGTTTAGCGCTTCCCCATGATTATAAGAATAATAATCCTGAGTGAAAGCTTATACTCGATCTAAAATTAGCCAGGGTTGATCCAGCGTGACTGGGAGCTTCAGTGTAGTGACCTGTAACTCGAATAGCAGAGCTGACTCACAACCCATGATACCCAGGCTTTATTCCATGATACCCAAACTTTATTCCATGATACCCGGGCTTTATTCCATGATAACCGGGCTTTATTCCATGATACCCGGGTTTTATTCCATGATACCCGGGCTTTATTCCAGGGACGGGTCGAGATGCAGAAACAAGCCTTATATCTGTCTGTCCATGCTCACCTAGATGGGCTTTGAAATGAGCGAGAGTATAAAACAACTCGTAACTTGTAGATAGATTCAGCTGTAGAAAAAAACAGCAGTGTTGCATGATAATAATAATATCTTTATTTACTACATGTACAAGGTATACAGGTCTAGCTGACATCAATGACATACTACTATATAGAAAGCCTCTTGTTATGTTGAGCATTTCGGGTAAATTAGATCAGTTTTGTCCCAGGGTGCGAGCCACACCAGTCGACTAAGACCCAGGCACTCATTTTACTGATGGGTGAACATCACTGAACCGGTGTGAGGAAACTCGCCCAATGTTTCTACCCCTTCGCCGAGAATCGAACCCGAACTCTAACCTTGTGCAGCGAGAGTTTTTGCCACCTGGCCACGGGGCACCCATGAGTTCAGCGATTGATTATGATTATAACAGTGGAGAAAAAACAGATAAGAGTCCAGGCACTAAGTTCAGCATTATGTGTGCGTGAATACACACCCACGGTAAATCTATAATATATTCACTGATAACATTTTGAGATTCGTCGATATTCACAGAAACAGAACCTGAACAATAAAATATGAGTGGATTCTTTTAGACTCAAGAAAATTATTATTAAAAACATCTACAATACTACTACTACTGAGTGTGACTGGAGCTGCCCGTAAACTTACCTGCTACCTAGAGGGCGTACGGGGGTCAACGTCCCCGCGGCTTGGCCCCCGACAGGGATGTACAAATCACTTCTACACCTGACTGTAAATTCTCATGATTAATGTGTTTATGATTCATTACCTTTGCAATTATTCATGAGTGTGACCAGCTCTACCTGGAGCTCATTACCTTTGTAACTTGGTCATGATTATGACCAGATCTAGTTCATTACCTTTGTAACTTGCTCAGCTATCAAAACTTTGGAGTCCAGTCCCTGGACCAATTATGTACCTCTGTAATCTTTTGACTACCGCCCACAGGATGGGTATGGGGTGCATAATAAACATATTAAACTAAAACACCTGTGAATTCAAATAGGTAATTACACACACACACACACACACACACACCCACACACACACACAAAGGTTTGCAACAAGACTAGTCCCAGAGCTACGGGGATTGTCCTACGAAGAAAGGTTGAGGGAAATCGGCCTGACGACATTGGAGGCCAGGAGGGTCAGGGGAGACATGATAACGACATATAAAATACTGCGCGGAATAGACGAGGTGGACAAAGACGGGATGTTCCAGAGATGGGACACAGACACAAGAGGTCACAATTGGAAGTTGAAGACTCAGATGAATCAAAGGGATGTTAGGAAGTATTTCTTCAGTCATAGAGTAGTCAGGCTATGGAATAGCCTAGAAAGTGATGTGGTGGAGGCAGGAACCATACATAGTTTTAAGGCGAGGTATGATAGAGCTCATGGGGCAGGGAGAGAGAGGACCTAGTAGCAATCAGCGAAGAGGCGGGGCCAGGAGCTGTGACTCGACCCCTGCAACCACAAATAGGTGAGTACAAATAGGTGAGTACACACACACACACACCCTAAGGGGTATGTCATACGAGAAGAGGTTAAGGGAAATCGACCTGACGACACTGGAGGACAGGAGGGATAGGGAAGACGATAGCGACATATAAAATACTGAGAGGAATTGACAGGGTGGATAGGGATAGGTTGTTTTAGAGATGGGACACAGCAATAAGGGGTCACAACTGGAAGTTGAAGACTTGGATGAGCAACAGGGATGTTAAGAAGTATTTCTTCAGTCATAGAGTTGTCAAGAAGTGGAATGAATAGTCTGGAAAGCGATGTAGTGGAAGCAGGATCCATATACAGCTTTAAGAAGAGGTATGATAAAGCTCATGGAGCAAGGGGAGAGAGTGGATCTAGTAGCGACCCGTGAAGAGGCAGGGCCAGGAGCCTTTAAATCGACCCTTGCAACCACAATTAGGCGAGTACACACACACACACACACACACACACACACACACACACACACTGGCCTCACCATCTCAGTAACCTTCAGGAAGGCTGGTGCTGACACCATGAAGGTAGACGAGCGATATATTTCCATGGTGACTCTCTTGATGAATAGTTGCCTCAGTCAAGTGGATTCTTGTTACTCCTGTGACTTGTTACCCCAGTGGCTTGTCAATCTAGTGGCTTATTACTCCAGTGGTTTGTCAATCTAGTGGCTTGTCATTACCATAGGGAGTCGTTACTGCAGTATCAGTGTGCATTGTTTCCCACTAACTTTCCCCTAAAGGGTTAGTATTGTGGTTCCATATACCTGATTGCTGTCTTACATTATTACACTTATGTTGTCACCAATGCAAGTATACCTTCACTAAGATTAGTATACTCAAACCAGGGCAAATATGCCATGAACTAAGACGTATATACTCCACTCTATATCCGCATACTCAGGTATATTAGTATATCAGGTGCAGTCTGTGCCAGCGAGCTGATAATTTAGGAGATATGCCATCAGTGGGAAAAGGATGATAAGATTATATCTATCAGAGGCTTTCAGTGCATTAGCCACCTCGCGCAGAAGGACGAAACTCTCAGTGATACTTAGAGTAAAATGGGTCTTAACGTAGAGTGGCTGATACGTCGCTGTGTATCTGAAGATGAGGGTGATAAGGGGGAGAGGATATTGTGGCCTCCCCTTTCACCCGCACCCTATCTGTCCTTCACACTCCTTCCTTCTCGCCCTCCCGCCTCTCGTCTTCTCTCTCCCTCTTTTCTTAATGTCTTGATTAGTACCTACGTGTTTTTACCTACAAAATATTATAGAGGCACATAATGGGTCCAGGGACTGGGCTTCGAAGTTTTGATACCTAAGCAAGTTACAATGGTAATACACTATTTACATGTTAATAATCTGTTTACAGTGGAACAAGCCAGCTGGTAACCTGGAGTTTACCTGGAGAGAGTTCCGGGGGTCAACGCCCCCGCGGCCCGGTCTGTGACCAGGCCTCCTGGTGGATCAGAGCCTGATCAACCAGGCTGTTGCTGCTGGCTGCACGCAAACCAACGTACGAGCCACAGCCCGGCTGATCCGGAACTGACTTTAGGTGCTTGTCCAGTGCCAGCTTGAAGACTGCCAGGGGTCTGTTGGTAATCCCCCTTATGTGTGCTGGGAGGCAGTTGAACAGTCTCGGGCCCCTGACACTTATTGTATGGTCTCTTAACGTGCTAGTGACACCTCTGCTTTTCATTGGGGGATGGTGCATCGTCTGCCAAGTCTTTTGCTTTCGTAGTGAGTGATTTTCGTGTGCAAGTTCGGTACTAGTCCCTCTAGGATTTTCCAGGTGTATATAATCATGTATCTCTCCCTCCTGTGTTCCAGGGAATACAGGTTTAGGAACCTCAAGCGCTCCCAATAATTGAGGTGTTTTATCTCCGTTATGCGCGCCGTGAAAGTTCTCTGTACATTTTCTAGGTCGGCAATTTCACCTGCCTTGAAAGGTGCTGTTAGTGTGCAGCAATATTCCAGCCTAGATAGAACAAGTGACCTGAAGAGTGTCATCATGGGCTTGGCCTCCCTAGTTTTGAAGGTTCTCATTATCCATCCTGTCATTTTTCTAGCAGATGCGATTGATACAATGTTATGGTCCTTGAAGGTGAGATCCTCCGACATGATCACTCCCAGGTCTTTGACGTTGGTGTTTCGCTCTATTTTGTGGCCAGAATTTGTTTTGTACTCTGATGAAGATTTAATTTCCTCATGTTTACCATATCTGAGTAATTGAAATTTCTCATCGTTGAACTTCATATTGTTTTCTGCAGCCCACTGAAAGATTTGGTTGATGTCTGCCTGGAGCTTTGCAGTGTCTGCAATGGAAGACACTGTCATGCAGATTCGGGTGTCATCTGCAAAGGAAGACACGGTGCTGTGGCTGACATCCTTGTCTATGTCGGATATAAGGATGAGGAACAAGATGGGAGCGAGTACTGTGCCTTGTGGAACAGAGCTTTTCACCGTAGCTGCCTCGGACTTTACTCTGTTGACGACTACTCTCTGTGTTCTGTTAGTGAGGAAATTATAGATCCATCGACCGACTTTTCCTGTTATTCCTTTAGCACGCATTTTGTGCGCTATTACGCCATGGTCACACTTGTCGAAGGCTTTTGCAAAGTCTGTATAAATTACATCTGCGTTCTTTTTGTCTTCTAGTGCATTTAGGACCTTGTCGTAGTGGTCCAATAGTTGAGACAGACAGGAGCGACCTGTTCTAAACCCATGTTGCCCTGGGTTGTGTAACTGATGGGTTTCTAGATGGGTGGTGATCTTGCTTCTTAGGACCCTTTCAAAGATTTTTATGATATGGGATGTTAGTGCTATTGGTCTGTAGTTCTTTGCTGTTGCTTTACTGCCCCCTTTGTGGAGTGGGGCTATGTCTGTTGTTTTTAGTAACTGTGGGACGACCCCCGTGTCCATGCTCCCTCTCCATAGGATGGAAAAGGCTCGTGATAGGGGCTTCTTGCAGTTCTTGATGAACACAGAGTTCCATGAGTCTGGCCCTGGGGCAGAGTGCATGGGCATGTCATTTATCGCCTGTTCGAAGTCATTTGGCGTCAGGATAACATCGGATAGGCTTGTGTTAATCAAATTTTGTTGCTCTCTCATAAAAAATTCATTTTGATCTTCGACTCTCAGTCTGGTTAGCGGCTTGCTAAAAACTGAGTCATATTGGGACTTGAGTAGCTTACTCATTTCCTTGCTGTCATCTGTGTAGGACCCATCTTGTTTAAGTAGGGGCCCAATACTGGACGATGTTCTCGATTTTGATTTGGCATAGGAGAAGAAATACTTTGGGTTTCTTTCGATTTCATTTATGGCTTTTAGTTCTTCCCGCGATTCCTGACTCCTAAAGGATTCTTTTAGCTTAAGTTCGATGCTTGCTATTTCTCTGACCAGTGTCTCCCTACGCATTTCAGATATATTGACCTCTTTTAGCCGCTCTGTTATTCTTTTCCGTCGCCTGTAAAGGGAGCGCCTGTCTCTTTCTGTTTTAAATCTACTCCTCCTTTTTCTTAGAGGAATAAGCCTTGTGCATACATCGAGTGCCACCGAGTTAATCTGTTCTAGGCATAAGTTGGGGTCTGTGTTGCTTAGTATATCTTCCCAGCTTATATCGGTTAGGACTTGGTTTACTTGGTCCCACTTTATGTTTTTGTTATTGAAGTTGAATTTGGTGAATGCTCCCTCGTGACTAATCTCATTATGTCGGTCTGGGGCTCCGCGCATACATGACTGAACCTCAATTATGTTGTGATCTGAGTATATTGTTTTTGATATGGTGATATTTCTTATCAGATCATCATTGTTAGTGAAGATGAGGTAACAGATATTTTTCACAACGTTCACCTCTAGTGACTAACTTGACAGTGTTAAAGGCGGCGTTTGAACAGTTTTCGAGAACAGGATTTGTTGTGTCTAGTTCTACGGTCTTCACATTAAGTCCTTGAATTGTATTGATGCAAGTCACTGGATGGCGAAACATCTACAACGTGATGATACCCAGGTGTTGCACATGGGTCTAATTGTTCACACTTGAGATGGTTGAAGTTTATTGCACATTCATCAACGTAAGTTCGTGTGGTTGGACTGACTGAAAAGTGTCAACTATCTGACTTGTCACCTAAATAACAAAAAGGCACAATATCGTGACTGGAACAATACACAAATAACCCGCACATAGGAGAAAGGATCTTGCGACGAAGTTCGGGTCCCACTTGAACCATGGTCTAATTTGGACCGAAACGTCGTCGTAAGCACCTCTCTCCTGTGTGCGGGTTATTTGTGACTTGTCACCTGTTTTCAAAACACTTCACTACATCTCGCCTATGCAAGGCTGTGTTCTGTGATCTTGATCTAAAATAATCATTATGATTGAAAAATACACTAACCTAACCTAACCTAACCTAACCTAGACCTACCTGGAGTTCATTACCTTTGTAAATTGTGAGTTCATTACCTCTGTAACTTGCTCAGCTATCAAAACTTTGGAGTCCAGTCCCTGGACCAATTATGTACCTCTGTAATCTTTTGACTACCGCCCACAGGATAGGTATGGGGTGCATAATAAACATATTAAACTAAAAAACTAAAACCTCTCAAGGGAGGGGCCTTGATGCTGGTGAGGGGCACTTGATCTAAGGAATCGGATCTGTGCTCCAGTTCCCTGAATTATGCCTGAATGCCTCCCATCCCCTCCCCCTCCAGGCGCTGAATAATTCCTGAGGGTTTAGCGTTCCTCCATGATAATAATATTAATTATAGCAGTCTTGGTGCCATTTTGCTGACGCCTAAGTGCACGACTTCATGCTTACGCCATAGGCACGTTTTCTTGCTACCCAGGTTCACCTAGCAGTACATAGGTACCTGGGTGTTAGGTGACTGTTGCTGATCACATTCCTGGGGGGGGGGGATGGAGGAGGGTAAAACATACGTGCATTAAAACTTCAGTTTTATCTTGGGTAAAACGCCGATGTGTAAGAAATTCCACTCCTGCTGGAAGTATTGTAAGAGCAGTGTAAACGGTGTACCGTGGCTTGGTTGGCAACGCATTCACCTCGCACAGAGTATCCATGGTTTAATCCCCAGCATGGGTAGAAACGTTGGGCACGTTTCCTTACACCTGCTGACCTTGGTGTGAGTCGCATCCTGGTTGATCAGGAATTCTAGCAGAGTAAACTCCAGGTCCAGGTAGAGAGGAAGGCGTGTCTCGTGATGCTATGGTGCATACATTTTTTCATAAAGCTGTGCGAAGAAGGAAGAGTCCAGTAGCCCCTTCCGGGAAGGTTAAGTCCCTCAGACCTGAGAGGGCTAAAAGATACCCCTTTTACTGGAGAATTTTCTCCACAGTGTGGGTCGCATCCTGGAGGAACAAGATTAAATAGGACTCCATTAAAAGAAAAAAAACAGATAGTCCTTGGTAATGCACTTTCTAGGGTGGCTGAACCTCCGGGTTAAAACTACGAGCAAATATTTTTCCTCGCATGGCTGCCCTAATAAAGATCTTAATATGAATTTGAAAAAATATGTCATAACATGTTCTTATGAGTGTTTTCTGGTAAAGAACATGACTGTGCGTGTTGCATGTTCTGTTATTTTTTGTGCGTCATGCAGACTGTGTACCTGCAGTGTTGTGTGTGACAGGGCCAGAATCTGAGATTCAACCCTTGTAACCACAAACAGGTGAGCATTTCTTGGGTGGTAAAACCTTTGTTAGATAATTAGATAAATATAATCTTTCTTCTTCTTCCTCCTCCTCCTACTTCTACTTTTTCTTTTTCCTCTCTTCCCTCCTCTCTCTTTAACAAATCCACTATACCACAACTAAACAAGAAATGTAAAGCTAGGCTAAATGCTCTCAAAACTGTTGCTGGCTACAATCCCAACTATGGTGCTAATGTGAGAATCGTGAGAATGATGTACATAGCCTATGT